CCCCAAAACCCCAAAACCCCAAAACCCCAAAACCCCAAAACCCCTTTGACTAAAATTATAATTGAATTTATTTTAAAAACTTTCATATGAACCAAGGGCAGAGAAAGAATGTAGTAAAGGACTTTATAGCTAGAGTACTCACTAAGAGCCTCATTAGAGAGGACACTGTCAAAATAGATGGCTTCAAGGAACGCTTGCAGCAGATCATTGACCCTAACTCTCGCAAGTCCAGCTTTGAGGTATCCCTCAAACGGGTCAGTGAGATTCAAGAGCAGATGAATGGCCTGGTAGAGCATCTTGACAGCAAAATGGATTCAGTGCTTGAGAAGAGAGAGAAGGAGTTCCTCTCTGCTTATCAATCACATATGATTGAGGTCCAGAACGAGCTCTTACATCTCAAGCGTAAAGCAAATGAGAAAGAGCTGCAGCTCCAGCAGGATGATAAAATTCTCTCACTGGAGCAAGAACTCGCATGGATCCGCCAAGAGACTATGAAGGTACGTGAAGAGATTGATAACCAAGAAGTCATCATTAAGGATTATAAACAAGAGCAACAGGAGCTCTTTGATGATTCCAGGTTTTTAAAAATGAACCTTAAACAGCAGCTTAAGGACAAGCTTTATGAAGAAGCTAAAGAGCTAGATGAGAAGGTAGAGACTTCTAAAGAGTCCAATGAGGATCTCTTACAGATAGAGGACCAAATGGCTGAAGAAGACAAGCATGAGCTTGAGCCTGCCCAGTCTGAGGAGCCACAGGAGTTTCATCAAGAGGAATACCAGGATAATGTAGCTAATCTTGATGAGGAGGGATTCTCTAATGATTCCAAGAAGATCGTCATGAATACAATGCCTCTCAAGACTGAAGATGTCACCAAGATTGATTACATCCTAACTGATCTCTTTGAAAGTGGTAAATCTAAGGAAGAAATACTCAATGAAGTCAAGAGTTTCTGTATTGAAAACCAAGAGAGACGTAAAAGAGTGCTCCAAATACACAGGAGGACTCTTGAACGAAAGCGTAGGATAGCTCAGCTTGCCAGAACTACTCAGCCTACTAAGTCAGCCGATAGTCAGAAGAACCTTGTCTACTTCATGCAGTGTGTTGAGAGGGTCAAAATGGAGGTGAAAGCACGTAAGAAATGTGACTCAAAAACTCTTAGAACCAAGAACAGAATCAGCCTGTTCAATACATCTGATAAGAGAAGGATTATGGAGCTTCTCCTGTGTAAAGAGGACATTCTCACAAAAGTACTGATAAAGATATTCCGAAAGATGAAGATAAAGGACCTTGAGAAGAAAGTAGAGTTTGAACGTAGAGCTAACAAGTACCATAGCTCTGCAATTACCCACTCCTTCAAACGTACTGGCATGAGTCAGAACAGTAGTAATACTGGAGCTTTTGGAATAGGCCACAGGAAGAACCTAGTTTCATATGGGGACTCACAGAGAATGTTTCATAAATACTCTAAGGTTTCTCAGAGCCATACTCCTAACTCCCATGCTGTCAGATATGATGCTTCAGCGCCAGTACATATGCTGAACAGGGAGATTGACCTAGGCATGAAGCAAGTTAACCAGTCTGCAATCGGTCAATAAGTTTCAATTTCTCATACAAAAATAGGGGTTTTGGGGTTTTGGGGTTTTGGGG